CGACGCCGACTAAAACACTCGTTATTCTACGTAGAGCACTTCAAGCCCTATTATTGCGGCGACGTGATTTCCAACCTTGATGGAACGCAGGGTCATAAGAATATGGCTTCAGAGTTACCACATCCACACGTGGTCAAAATTTGATCCCTCGCCTCAGTAATATCCACAAAATAACGGGGATAATCGTGAGCCTTCAAAATCAAATGCACGGTTGCGAGAGTTGGAACGTCGACAAGATACAGATGGCTACTGATCGCGTCGATTATTACTATTGGAAGCATATCCACTCGTACCAGAGCAAATTTTCGTGGCAGGGGGCGCCGCATTATCAGTGGCAGCAGGAGGGACAACTTGCAGGGCTTGCCTCAAAGTTTGAATTCAATATCAGGTTGAATCCCCAGGCAAGTTTCATGACGCATGCGAGATAGCGAACTTCACATACGATCCGTCGAATATCCTTCACGCATTGTCGCGCCCTCGACACCCGGCAAAACACCTCGATCACCTGCCGGTTCGCCAGCGAATGGGATTTCTCCACCCTCGCCAATCGCAATTCCACAACAGAAGAAGTCTGTAGGGCAGTCACAAACGAAGAAGATGGGAACTCCCTCTTTGAGCACTCCCTATTTCTCATTCGGCAGTGAAATCGATACTACCACGTTGAGAACGTGGTGGCGAAGAGAAATGTCCGCGAGCCCTACGTAAAAGGGCTGGGTTGTCCAGCGAACGAGAGTTTGTAGGATTCTTGTAGTCGTATCCTTCGCGGCTATCCCAAATTCTTTATGCGTTTGAAACGGTTGCAAGAGGAAATTCGCGTAGAAGAACTGCCCATCTATTTATCCCTCTTAAGCTTGAGTAATGACCACACGTACTTCGCTAGTCGGAGTGATCTCTATCTTGCGCTAAAAAAATAAGCAAACCGATAGCTTAATGGTATCTGTTTTAAGTGCAGCAGTATTAATATTTCGCAAACGGTGGATATCCACCGATTCGGTTGCACGAAATAATGCCCAAACTTGAATGTCGATTGTCTAGACGGAATCCAGAACGGATTGATGGGTCTACGGTACATACATGAGGTTTCTCGTGGTTCTCCGTCAGCACTAGCAATCGGACCAAATGCGCGAAAACACGCGGTTCAAGCATCATCACTCGAGCTTCCTTTCGACTGAAGAATTCGTCAAACGCTAAGGTGACATCATTACGACGGTCGCGAAACCCGTGACGACGATCATCTTACAGTAACGCAAATAAACTGGACGACTGAACTCGTCAAGGGATTCTTCATAGCAATCACTATTTGCCTAAAATGGTCGTTTGATACCAGGTCTTGGCTCAGCGTGCAAAAGCGCAGTTCGACGTGAAAGTCAAGCATTATCCAAGTCCGATAGTGGCGATGGCGCCATTACACCTCAGATTTTAAAGCGGCTTTTATCCGCGCTTGTGCTCGGCGCAAGTCGTCTTAGATGCGCTCCAATTCGTGATGTATAAATAATCGAGTCCCAGAGTTAGAAGAGAATATGGGTAAACCAACTTTTGAGTGGGTGATTGTGTACCCACTACACATGCTGTGTGAAGCATTCTTGTGTAGTTGACATTAAAACAATAGACCCTGTATAACTATATATTCCTCAATTCTGATATATCCTTAGGCACTTATCAGTTTAGGAAGATTCAAGGCTTATTGGCCATAATCAATGTCACTTCTCTTTTGCCCCTCGTTCAAGTAATTCAACGGCTCGCTAGAAAAGAACAACACGCGATGTTTATTGATTTGAGTTTTTTTAGTGTGTACACACGGACGGGCGAATTCCGATACAACATCTTTCAAATCGGAGAACAGAAATATGCATGTCGGCATTCCGCAAAATTTAATAAATCACCAGTTACGATACTGTCCTCTTTGTTTTTACTTGGCTGAGGTAAAAAACCTTTGCACACATATATTTTTTTTCTCCCGCGCACCACCAGACACTTCTGATTCGATGTCAGTGTTGCGCATATAATGCAATTTTTACGATTTTATGAAAAGTAGTGGGGTTTATGCGGAAGGCATTGGTGCGATTACGTAGACCATCCGTGAGGATGGTATTTTATATTGGTCCTGGAAGTGGGTCAGCTAACCTCTCGACTTTGAGAGCTCTAAGCCTTTCGGCATAGTCTACTTATTCCCTATTTGTGGCCTGTAAATTCAACCGCACTCGGTAAGCCTTATTCGGCAGTACGAGTTCTCGCGACGTCTGTCCCGTGAGTAGTATCCAATACAGAAATGCCTTTATGATGGGAATTCACACCATTGTGCACCTGTTTCACGCGTGCCCA